TTTTTAATAAAAAAAATAAAAATAAAAAAAACCATAATCCCAGTAAAAACCACAATTCTTTTTCTGCATTTCTAAATACAGAAAGTTCAGAAACCAGATTTTTTAAAATTTGGTGCCAAAATTAATTTGACAAATCTGACCTGATGAAGGGATAGAATTTGTCTCAGAGCTCTTATAGATTATATGTGTGTCTGCGTTTTCAATATATGTAAACATAATATTTGCATATACATATATAATATAAATGCACATCTTTTATATTTTTATATTTGCATTTAATTATATATCTAGGTATATGTTTATATTACACCTTTAAAGTTACAAAGAGAGACAAAGAATAACTCTGTTGTGAGGTGAATAAATGAAGCCACCTGTATCACAGTGTGTAAAGTAGAATTACTGAGAAATTTGAAACATATTACTAAACACAACTTGCTGCAGTCACCACTATTGATGACTTATAAAGGAAAATTGTTGAAAGTTAACAAAGAAGTTTTAGCGAAGAACTCATATTTTGCAAAACATTGCTTAAAGCCAAAATTAAAAATAGTTTGAACTTGAATTGATTGTATTCAACAAAAAAGTGGTGAGTTTCTACAACTCTTTAATTCTTGCTATTTTTTTTTTTTTAGTCATGAAACAAACTAAAATAAGTCATGAATATCTGAAATAGAAGGGGCGTGTGTACATAAAGTATGAATCCAGAATTCTTAGAAGCAGCACAGTGTAAACCACTTTTTTCAACCTGAACACTATTGACATGTTGGACCAGACTAACCTTGGTAGCTGGGGAGCAGGGCAGAGTGGGAGGGTGGTGGGAGGAGGGGAGGGAGGTCTAATCTACGCGGGAAGGGGTCTGTTTGGCCTCTCCCCACTAGGTGTCAGCATCCACTGTAACAACCAAAATAAACACCTGTTCTGGAGTCAGGGGATAGGGAAGAATGGTTAATGTTAGTGGGTGAACTCTGCTGGTAAAAACCATCAGAAAAATCTGTGGTGAAGAAAACACTATTAATTAGGAGCAGTTGAAAATTACATTGAAAGTATTATCAATATTACATCTTTTGAAAAGCTTGTCCTACATGAGGTTTATATTTTTTAGGAATATATTAATTTCCAGTGGAGAGCTATTTTTCCAGCAAACTAAATTCGTTCAAGATAAACTAATCTGCCTTGCCAACTAATTATCAAGACATATAATTTATCCTTCACTTCACCCCCTTTATTGACTTCTTTGCTACTGGTCTATTACTTATCTATAGTAAACCATAAGCAAAGATGTTTTATTCCCCTTTCCATGTCCCAACCAATTCATTTTCATTCTTTGTCTCCTATACCCAGTAATAACAATAAGAATAAAATAGCCAGTCTTAGCCAGGTAAGTCCTCTTATTTCTTTACTCAAGTCTGTTTAGAAAGGAGAAACGATGAAAATAAGATTCTCATAAAGAGATGACTCAAAGCAGGTCCCCAGACTTTGAGTAGAGACCTTCAATTAGACATGATAACACAGAGAAGTGCTCAGTGGATCAGATCAGTCCTGTCTTCACTCAACTTCTTTAAGTACATCTTGACATGTAGGAACGTTAAAAAGTAAAATTATGTGAAATTATTTTTCACTGTAGTATGTAGAATTAGCTCTGTCCTTGTCCATGTGTCCAAGGTTGGCAGATTCAGCAAATTAAAATACAGAATGCTCAGTTAAGCTTAGATTTCAGATAAATTACTGTTGTTCATCCAAAATTCAGATTTCATTGGGTATCCTGTGATTTAGTTGGCAATTCTAGCCAAACTTGTTAACAAAATCACAGGAGGGGTATTTTGTATTCTTTAATACAAGCCCATGATAGCCTACACAAGATGTGAATCCACATGGAAGTTTTCAAACAATAAATACAAGTTAAAATTTTCTCTTATTTATTAAACCAGCATCCCTTGCACGTTCCCTGCGCCTAACACTAAGTTACATGTTGGCCTGTATGAACATAGTAGCCTATTCCTGGCAGAATTATTATTATGTGAAAATAAATGCAGACTCCTCCCAGTGCTAATCAATACATATATTATTACTATTTTAATATTTATAGTTCCTATGATTGTAAGCTCACAAGCTCTTTCATTTCTTAATTTCTGAAAAAAAAATATCTTCATCACAATGTGACAATTACTTCTATTAATTTAATCACTAATTGTTATCTTTAGCAAATATGCAGAAACATTGGCTTGTGAACAATAATGGAGTGTAATGAACCTGAAAGAAAAGCAATACACTGATATAAAGAGGAGGCTTTCAGATTAGACTACAAAATCTAGGTCTTATTTTACCTAAAATAACCACCATTTAATTTTCAGTTGTTATTGAGATACTATTATTTTACATCCTTGCTACTGTTTTCACAGTATAGCCCCCCCCCAAGTGTAGGTCCACCATAGACCATTGTGGTCTCCCCTCCACCCCTGTTTCCACTCCTCTCTTTCCCTCTTCCCCTCTGAATGCCCAAGATCTATGGTCAGATTTTCAAGCTTTGTTTGTTTTTTCTATATTTTACCTCCAAGTGACACTATCAAGCCTGTATCTGTTTTTGTTGTCAAAATCTTTTATGGAGGCACCAATGGTTTACAACATTGTTAGTATTTTGAAAGTAGAAGATTCCCCCTCTTCACATGTAGTTGCCATGGGATACCCAACATGGAAGTGCCCATACCCCACCACCACAGCCAATTATGCTCCCACCCCACATTGTTTTTCCCCCTTTCCCTTTGGTACCCCAGTTCAATATTAAGCTTTCAAGCATTAGTTTTTAAGTTTGATTTGATCTGACCCTTTGTTGTTATTTTTTTTTCATTATTCCACATATAAGTAACTACTCAGCAATCAAATAAAAAGATAAATTTATGTCATTGTGGCAACATGAATGGAGCTGGAAAAGATTATGCTAAGTGAAATAAGGCAAAAGAAAAAAGGCAAAATCTCGATTTTAACATAAATATATGATATTAGGTAAATTTCTTAAACTTTGAATTTTATATTATGTAGACGTGTTTTTAATTGTTACAGATGTGATAGGATAGTTATATTGGAAATGCATGTGAAAATTTACAGGCCTGGTACATAGTAACTGCAAAATGTTGTGACTCTTCCTGCCGAGAGAGAACTGATCTGTTTTGTTCATTATTCCATCCTCATAACCTATTGCATTGATTGATGCGTTCTTTGCCATGAAAATTATTGACTGACTATAGTAATAGCGTTTTCCCTAAGCAGTCACCTCTGCATTCCAAAGCTCTCTAGTACTTCCTTGAGAATGACTGAACATCCCTAGTTCTCAAGTCCTCATGAATTCTCTTCAAGCTTTTTTATTCTTTAGATCCAGCTGAGTCCCCCATCTCAGAGTAGTCTTTCTCTGGTGTCAGCTACTCCAAACAGTCATCCTTCCCTTTCCCAGCTGCTGTTCCCTCTTCAAACAGTCCAGTGCAGTTTCTGTCTTTATATTCTATTGACTACAAGTCTAACAAAGCCAGGGCGCTCTTCTTGGTCACATCTCACTTCACCCACCCCTGAGTGGTACTCAGCACACATGGACACACTCTCCTTGAAACAAATCTTGTTTAGCGTCCACACATCATGCTTATGCTTTTCCTCAAGATCACCAACATTCTTTTCAGTCCCCTTTGCTGACTAGCCCCGGATTCTCTGGGTTTGATCTTTGCCCTTTTCTTGTCTTCTACACACATTCTCTCCTTACGTGTCCCCTTAACTTTCCTGATATTTAGCATAGTCCATGTGTCAATGACACCAACATATACACCCCCGACTCTGGCCTCCCTCTGAAATACATTCCAGTATTCAACCAACCTCTTGAATAGCCACATAACTGTCAAAAAAATCTTTTCAAACTTAAACTTCAGAACCTTTGGTTCTGACCACCCATTTCAAGTTATTTCCATACACATATTGCCAAGCTTAATAAACACCACCAAGTTTATTCAAGTTGTTTAGACAAAATACTTAGGTATATGTTTGATTTTCCACCCCTCTCCTATTTAACTTATTAACAAGTTACACAAGTATCTACCACAAATTGTTCACTTGAACTTAGCTTTTGTCTCTGTCACACCACCTTAGGTGAAACCATCTTCCCTGTGTGATTCTCCCATGTTCCTTATGGTCTCCCTGACCACTTGTGAATCACTACAATTTAATCTCCACATTGAATATATTGATAGTATTATTTATTTAACAAATATATATGGGCTACCACTGAAAAGAGCTTCCTATGTCTATTTTAATAAAATTCAAATTTCTTACCATGGTATTTGATGCTTACTATGTTTTGGTTCCTGATTCTTCTCCAACCTCCTCTTATACCTACCCTATTTACTATGCTTCTGCCATGTTAGCCACCTTCCTCTCCATAAACACAGTGAATATCTTCCCACACTTAATTATTTCCCCCGTTCCCTCTCCCTGGAATACTTGCTTTTTAGATCTTCATATGGCTGGCTTCTTCTCATCATTCTTACTTTAATTAAAAATCACTTTCTCATAGAAAGTTCCCAGACAGAAATCAGGTGGATCCAATTCTGTCTATCCCATAAGACATTGATGTATTCTTTTTCAGGACACATGTCACCCTCTGAACTTTTTTTTTTTCATTAAATATTTGTTGGGTTATTGTCTTTGTCCCATGTCATTAGATAAATTCTCTGATCTTAGTACACAGCCCAGTTCTCTGATTCTAGAATAGAGCCTAGGAAAATATGCATATTATTCACACAATAGCACACACACTAAATGATTAAACCTGGAATCTGGGACTTGATCACTGTGGGACCCTGGAAAGCAAAGGGTTCAGCTCCAACATTCTTATTCTGGTGACTCATTAAATTCCTTCTGATTTCTGTGAGAAATTGAGACAGCCTCCCTCTTTTTCTTCCTACTAGCTTTAAGACATATTTACAGGAAAAGAGAAGGTGATTTTTTAAAAAAATGGAAAAATTGATTTCATCCAGGGAATCTGTTCCAGAACTGAGGATCTATACCAACTTTGGGGATTTTCAGTATTGCTGATGACATAACTGGGAGAAGAACAAGGAAGAGGTGGAAGCTGAGGAAGCCAAATGGCTAATTAATGAAAATAGAGATCATTATGAGTGAAATTGAAATTTGAGGCCAATGGAATTTCGTGACTAATTTACTTTCAGACTTTGGAATATAAACAATTTTAACACTCTGTGCCTTTACTCAAGGTATACAATTTGAAGCAAATGAAATTTCTAATATTTTTACTATTTTTTACTTAAAAATAGAATTTTATGGGGCTCTCCCTGGTGGCACAATGGTTTAAAGCACTGCATTAGGAAGCTCTCCAAAGCCACTGCAGCATGATCTACCACCAGGGAGCTGCCCCACATGGCACAGCAGACTGCTCTGTTACCACCTGCTGTTACCGTTAGGAGTATATTTCAGTCGATCTGCCTGTTCTGCTCCCCACTCTATCTCTGGTGAATCCTCTCACCCATCACACCTCTGTCCTGTACCCCAGTCCTGTAAGCATAAGTAAATAAATCATATATATACATATATGTATATGTACATGTACATGTATATGTATATGTATGTATATTATGTGCATGTGTGTATGTATATATATGTATATATATATATAATTTTATGACAAAATGGTAGTATAGTGTGATTCAAATTAGGTTCTTAGTGAACACCAACCTGTGTGAGGTCTTCAGAAGGTGGCCTAAGTTCTTTATGACAAAAATCACACCCCTAGATGGCCCTGACCTAAAGGGTCATTCCAAGTACTAAGGATAATTGATTCAGTTTTAAGGCGCTTTCTACAGGGGGTGGGGGGAAGAGAGAAAGCAGGAATCTCAACTTTGTCAGAGAACCTCTAATACAGGGATAAGGTTTACAATGTTGGAAAGGAGATAATGGGAGAGGCCCCTGATACATTATGGCATATTAGAGAAAGACACCAGTACCACAGATCCTATTAAAGGTAGAACACAGGATCTTCTAGAGGTTTTTCTTTCTTTTTTTTTTTATTTTATAACAGTTTATTTTTACATCATTACATCATTTTTTACATTTTTTTCCATCTCAATTATAATCTCTTTCTTTTTTTTTTAACTGAGGTAACAGTGACTTAATACTGTTATTCAGAGGCAAAGGATCATACCTCAGATGCATGTCCCCACATCACACCCACCACCAAGGCACTCATAGTTCTCCACCATAGCTCACTGTGTCCCCTCATTTTTTTCCCTACTCATGCCCCCTGTAGTCTCAATTCTACAGTCAGGTTTCTCTTGGTTTGGTTTCTTCTGACCCCTTTTATTTTTCTCTATATTCCACATTTAAATAGAACCATTCAGTGTTTTTCTCTCTTCTTATGATTTATTTTGCTTAACATAATTAAGAGAGATTTTTCTAATTCCCTTTTGGTTCCCCATAAAATTTTCAGAGAAACTTTTAGCTTTTCTGGCATAACCAAACATAACAAAAAGAAGTTCTGGATGGGAATTACTTTAATTTCATTGTTTCCAATCGTAATGAAATCATTCTGGGGGAATGAAATGAAAAGTTAAAGTCCAATGAATGGAAATGGTCTATATAAAGAAGTATTTTATACAGATCTTGTAGAGAGAACCAGAATCCAGGATCTTTTTATTGTGGAAGAAATTGAGGATCCATATGTTAAGATAGATGGTCACTAAAGAAAATACCAAAAATTTCTAAGGTACATAACTTAAACACAGAGAAAAAGCTAAAGCCTTTCTTTTCCTCACCCCACAATAGCTCACCCCTCTAGGTGTACACTTACCTGGAGTGTCCCTGGCCCAAACCAGAGGAGGACTCAGTACCATCAGGATCACCGTCAAAGCTGTCTTCCAGGAGTTTCCTGGGAACCACAGACACACCATGCCAAGAACAAGAAAAGATGGGGAGCAGGCACTTGTCACTAAGTATGGACCAGGGTAGCTATTCGCCACTTCTCAGATAATACAACCAAGAAATATTTCCATTGTTCCTTGATTGGTTATGCTCAGTGTTGAGAGCCAATAAGTGTCAGCAGGGGAAGCATCATCAGTTGCTGTCAGCAATTCGG